AAAAATAAAACATCAGAACCAACATGTTTGTTCTGTTAAAACTTTAAATATTAAGATAAAAAATAAAACATCAGAACCAACATGTTTGTTCTGTTAAAACTTTAAATATTAAGATAAAAAATAAAACATCAGAACCAACATGTTTGTTCTGTTAAAACTTTAAATATTAAGATAAAAAATAAAACATCAGAACCAACATGTTTGTTCTGTTAAAACTTTAAATATTAAGATAAAAAATAAAACATCAGAACCAACATGTTTGTTCTGTTAAAACTTTAAATATTAAGATAAAAAATAAAACATCAGAACCAACATGTTTGTTCTGTTAAAACTTTAAATATTAAGATAAAAATGATTTTATATTTTTCCTCTTTTCATCAGGATTCATTTCTTTAAAACTTTAAATTTCAATAATTACCTGAGATGATAAAACATTTAATATTGGTTAAATAATGTTAGTTAATTTACAGGTGATCCAAACAAACAGAACCAGAACCAGAACCAGAACCAGGCCGTTGTTGTTTAAAGAGGCCCAGCCGACAGTTTGTGTTGTTGTTGTTTCAGGATAAAAAAGGTGTGTGTGTGAAGGTGGTCCCAGCCGACAGTTTGTGTTGTTGTTGTTGTTTCAGGATAAAAAAGGTGTGTGTGTGAAGGTGGTCCCAGCCGACAGGAGGATCTATCAGCGACAGGTGCGACCGTCCTCCATGTTGGCTAAAAGCATCCTGGAAGGTAGAGGTCTGCTTCCACTCCTGGACGTTCTGTCAGAACCGTCAGACGTGTTCGGCTCTCACATGACAGCTTGTTGTCTTCATCAGGGTACCGCCCGGTRCAGCCCGATGCCTTCCTGCCAGCCAGCACGTCTCTTCCTCCTCCGCTCAGCGACCGCATGAGGAAGAGGAGGGCCTTCGCCGACAAGGAGCTGGACTCCATCATGTTGGAGCGGGAGCTGCTGGAGAGCAGCCAGGCAGCCTCAGGTCCACTGCTGTTCCCCGGGGGTCTGGTCCACCACGCTGCCGAGTACAACTCCTACAAGACGGCCTTCTCCCCGGCAGCTCCGGTGGAGCCGCAGCCCAAAGAGCTCTGCAGCTTCCTGGCTCCGAGCCGTGTGGACCTGTACCCGTCCGGCCCGGCCAACGTGGAGCTGATCTCGTCCAACGTCAGCGTGGCCACCACCTACCGCCACTACCCGCTGCAGCCGGCCCGAGGCGGCCTCGTCATGTGGCCCCGCGGGCCCCCCAGCCTGGGGGACGCCCTGCTCTACCAGCAGTGCCTGTTCAACGCCACGGCCGTGCAGAACCTGAAGCCCGGCGCCATCTGGGAGCCCAAAGCCYTGCCCGCCGAGAGCCAGCCTCCAGAGACGGAGACCTCCGCTGCCCTGGCTGCGAAATTGGAGGGGTCCCGAGTGGCTGCCCTGCAGGACTCCTCAGACCTGCAGAGGCCTGACCCCAAACCCCCCAGTGTGTCCCAGGTGGGGCAGAAGGACAGCTCTGCCTTCTCTCCCCCCAGGAGGAGCTCAGGACAGTCGTCCTGCAGCAAACTGAGCCGAGACAAAGTGTCCTCCAAACTCAGCTCCTTCCACTCCCTGCTGCACAGCTCCCGGACTGACAGAGCCCCCCCAGGGTCCGCCTCAGACCTCACAGCCCCCTACTGCAAAGAGCTGCTCCAAGAGGCGGCCCGCAAGTTCAGGGAGGCCTCCACCAGGGACAGTCAGGGGTCAAAGGTCACAGACCGCTACAGCAAAGACTTCCTGAGCAAAGCTGGGAACAAGATGGCGTCGGGCGAGTCGCTGTCCTTCTCTGTGGAGGCCATCTTGAAACGCCCACCTCCTGCTGTGAGCCGGACCTTCCAGTCCTTCTGACCCTTCTCATGTTCCAGTGATGTGAGACCCTGCAGCAGGTCTGAGACCCTGCAGCAGGTCTGAGACCCTGCAGCAGGTCTGAGACCCTGCAGCAGGTCTGAGACCCTGCAGC